TTTGGTTCACCATCGGGGAATCATCATGAAATTTACGGAGTTTTGAAAAAAGAACAAAGATGTATACCTATTTATAAAGAAATGCGCATGAATTCCTGGAAACGATAAAAGTTCTCAATATGATTATACTGAAGAATAAAAACCAAGGATTAATAAATGAGAATGATAAACAACTTATACTCCTTCGCTCAATTTCAATTTCTTTCTATTTTCATACTGCCGTACTCTAACCGAACTATCCACCTACGCTCTTCTAAAGATCATTCTCTAGCTAATAAATTATCACACTAAAGCTTCCTGTTAGCATTTCTAACCAACTCTAATACTCAACGATTTTCACATCTTAACGACAGCAGAAATACAGAGAACTTATCGAACCATGAAAAACGCTATTTTTTTTAAATATGCGTAGATACATAAAGGATCGCAAATCCATTAATTTTCGTAACGTTCCTTATGACCAAACATGCCATTTTGCATCTTCAGATCACCATTTTAAATCGAGCCTTAATTTTGAAAGGAGCCAATTGAAAAATGTTAAGCTTATCTTCAGAAAACTGTTACTTGAAAAATGTTTGTCCCATCGGTTTGGTACCTTGAGCAATGTTGTAGGGAACATTTGGAACCATTGAAAAAATTTACCCTAAAAAAATTACAACGCACTTAGTCTTTCTTAATCAAGCGCAGTTAGTACCAAACGGAATGTTATTATTAGTAATGGCTGTAAAATTTATTTGCCTTCCGGTACGTAAAAAGAGAAACCAATCGTTGAGATATTGTCTAAAGTCTAACACTGCTTCTTGACGCCAAACTCGGCTTTCGGATTCAAAACACGGCCTAACGCATTGAAACGCCATTGAAACGCCAACGAATTCACTTCGGCCTAGAACAAGATAAAAATTGATTCGGTCGGAGCGCTTCTTCTTTTATTTTTGGGAATAATGGGTGCAAACCTGTTTATCACGCGTTTTCATTGACTTCCTTTGGTAGCTTATTAGCTAAAGCTACTAAGGAACCAATGAATTGATATTTTTATGGGCAATCAACCACCAAACAATGGAAATATATTATTGCATGGATTTACTACTTCATGGAACATAGACAATGCCAAGATTCGATTATCTGAATAAGGTTGAACGTAATTTGAATCTTTTTTTTTTTTTTGAACAGTAGTTTACACAATTTTTTTGTTAAAATTTGACTGCACGTTTAGCAGTAGGAAATTGGGTATAACATTATCAAAGACGATCATAATTTCTGATTGTATGATGAGTGTGACAAATTTTGGCCCTATCTTAAATTTCACATTTTTCCATTATTTCTTAAATGCATTTCGATACAAAATTAAAACAGAAATATTGTCATGGAAATAAAAACATTAAATCATATTTATGGAACACTAGTGCCATATCTGGCACACTTACCCCATACATTTAGAAGAGGATAAAGGGTGTATTCGAAAAAAAAAACACACCGAAAATGTTCTGCAACATTTGAACAGCATGAGTAAAAAACCTGAAAATTTGAGTAAATCAAGTTTCATAGTTATTCACACAGTAGCTCCAGTCATGTCGTCGAAACAAGAAAAGGTCCCTTCAAAATTTGGTGCACTTACAATAAAAATCCAGAGGCGCCCCACCGATGGATCGCTAAAACCTTGGAATTGCAAATACAACTGTGCCTCGTGTGATAAGAACCTTCGAGGAGCAGCAAAAAAAATTATCTTCCAATTAGGCCGGAACAAATTACAAGTTTTTCTATTGTCAATCGATGCTCGCACCAGTCGAGGGGGGGGAGGGGGGATTAAGCATAACCAAAAAAAAAATTGAACATTTGAAATTCGTTATACATCGCATCTAAACCGTATATTTCAAACGTTTACATTACTTCTTAGCCTTCGTGTCAGCCTTATACTTCTTTGAAGCTGTGATTTTTGTAACTAATGCATAACAGGAGCCATAAATATTGACTTTATTATAGCACTCGGGTTATCAACAAAACATTTCGCGCATAAGTTTATGCGCATTTTTACCGATTCAAACCAAACAACCTGCACATAATCGAGAAATTACCAGAGTTTCAGATATTCATAAGTCACACTTGTTGGTTACGTTGCGGTTCTGTATTTACACGGATATTCCTTGGGGTCTGTCCAATGATGAGACATTTTCATCATATTTTTTTATTACTAATATAAACCTTTTCGCGGTCCAATCATAACCGAATCGTATATATATATATATATATATGTGACTTTGTGGATTATGCGCAACTTATTGCTATGTGTACCGCAAGTTATAGGTTTTCCAAACCATCCAGGACATCAGTTGATTTGTTCTACTAGATCAACAAAGACTGCAATAATGTATGTAGTATCGAAAAATGTTCAATTAGATTCAAAGTGTCTATTTGGATCATGCATGATCTATTTCCGAGTAATCCAGATGTCCAGGGTTCTTAAAATCGTCCTGGAGTTCAAATAATTTGATCTACTAGATCAACGGAGATTGGGACAAAGTCTTTAGTATCGAAATATTTCCAGACAGATGCACACACCCAAGTAATATTGTTAGTTTTATGGAGGTTTTGAAGCATGCTACAAGTCTAAATCATGGTCTACAGAACCCGTATAAAACCGAAATTGTTACTTGGGCAGTGTCTATATGGATAATGTATGATTTATTTCCACGTATACCAGATGATCTAGGTTCTCCAAATCGTGCTGCATTTCAGATGATTTGTTTTACTAGATCAACAAAGACTGGAATAATATCTGTAGTATCGAAATATCGATTTGGAAATCCTAGAACATTTGGTATACACGGAAATAGGTGGGCATGATCCACATAGGCACTTTGAATCTGTTTGGACATATTTCGATACTACATACATAATTGCAGTCTTGGTTGATATATAGTAGAAGAACAAACCAACTGAACTCCAGGACGATTTGGAGAACCTAGAATATCCGGTATACATGGCAATAACTCGCATCTATACAATTCGTTTATGAATTGACAACGAAAAATGCAATGTTCATATTGGAAATAAAAAGAAACATGAAAATGTCTCACATTGGACAGACAACAAAGGTCTATTCTAGAAAATCCAAGCCTGTGTTTCAAAGATCGGAGCTGAAATCCAACTTGGCTAATCAAGAAACCATAATTTCTATAAAAATACGTACTTTTGTGGATGCCCAATTTTTACAACAATTGCGCTTACTTAAAAAATCCACCATCAGGTATAAACACACGAAGGTCCATTCTTTAAAATCTTAGCCAAATTTTCAAAAAAAAAATGTGAGTCAAACCACTTTAGGAAAGCTCAGACTAGCATTAAATATAATTCAATCACTCAACAGAAAATGTTGGACTCTGTTTTTGAATTTAAGGTAAAAAAAGTGTCGGTTCACTTCGGAAAACTTTCCACTCTTTTAGGAAAGCTAGATAGCGGCGCCGGTGGTGTAGTGGAAAGCGTGATTACCTCTCAATTTTAGTCGGCGCCACCGGGATGTTTTGAGGCATAACATCTCTGATCACGCCTTCCTTCGGATGGGAAGTAAAGCCGTTGGTCCCCGGTTCATGAGTTGATGGGTCGATAGGCAGGGTCCAGGTGTGGGAGCTGCCTCCCTGGCGTCGGTAGCATTAGTGTTCAGCAGGGAAAACAAATCAAGAATCAAAAAAAAAAAGAAAGGAAAGCTAGATGAACTAAACAAGATTGTTAATAAAAAATCTAGGAATCACTTAGGAAACACCCGTTTTAACCAGTTTGGACTCAGTTCGGAAAAAGTTGAATTAATGCAGGAAACCTTGGATTCATCTAGGAAAGGGATTAAGTCAGCTAATGTGGCTTCACTCTAGAAAATTCGAGACTTATTCCTTAAAGCTAGGGTTCAGGATATGTTGGATCACTTCAGGAAAGTTTTGACAATTTTAAAAAGGATTGAATAACATAACAGAAAAGTTTAGGTTCAGTTGAAAAAAATGGATGACGTATTTGAAAGTTTAAACCCACTTAAAAAAAGTTAAGACTCAGTTTTAAACCTGCTTTTAAAAGTGTCACCTCAATAAGAAATTTTCTTAATCGTTTCTGATTTGGTCTCACTTCTAAAAATTTTAATCCGATTTTTAAAATATTGGGTTTAGCTCAGAAATTGTTGAATCACTGTAGAAAATAATTGAATCATTAAGTAGCATTGCAGCAGGTTTGTAGGTTAAGAAATTTAGATCGAATGCAAAAATTAGGTAACTACGGTGGGCTGGGCACATCCTAACAATGTTGGATAAAGCCCAATGAAAATGGTTCTTGGTAGCGACCCGATTGAAAAAAGACGCGCAACTTTTCAAAAAATCCTACGTTCTACAATTTTGCCAATGACAGCAAGCCTCTATGTTGTGAAATCAAAAAGTTTGTATAGCTGCACCATCTTTGCGGCCATAACTTGAACTATTTTGATCCAACAAATTGTAGTCCTAATCAATCCACGAATCTTCGCTGAAGACGGCAGCTCAATTGGTTGCAATCCCAGGGCGTTATAAATTTTGTCCTGCTAGATTAAATTACTGGCCCACTGTGCGTTTTAACTTTCTTTATCATTCACTAAATAGTTTTAAACACCTTAAGCAATCCATATAAAATGCGTTCCAATGTCCGACTCTGCTAGCGTAAAGTCAGCACCATCCACTGGAACCCCTGTTGTCCAACATAGGCAATAGACCCAAATCACTGCAAGTTATTTGCTCAACTCCGGAATCCTGGGGTGTTCCCCATAGTTAGCTCAAGTACCTACCATTAATTAATTATATTTTCTTAATGACCCTGCTGAGCAGCACACATTGCACCAAAGAACCCCACCGAGTCGAGTGTCGGACAGCATCGATATTTACCCCCCCCCCCCCCCCCCACTCGACTTGCCGTTGTTCCTTCGTTTGCACCGCAATTCATTTCATTCATTAATGTTTTGTTCCGTTCTGTCTCTCCACATTTGTTCTTGGCAGGATATCCGATCCAGCGGAGCCAACGCTTTCCCCCATCCGCTGTGGAGCCACGACAATGCCGACGATGACGACGGAGGAAACGAAGAAAAGGCTAAAAATGAGGAAAAATATGAGATCGATGACGTGTTTCGTGATATTTCTGCTAGTTTTCATCATGAATTATGGTGAGTATGTTTGCTGTCGGTTGTGTTTTCTTTTGCGCCAGATGAATTATGTTCGAATCGGAAGATTAATGTATCTCGAGTGGATATCAAACATGTAACTGCCGGAGGATGATTTCTGGTGCTGCTGCATTAGCGAAAATTTGTGGCGTAGGGCAAACATTCGGTGATTTGTAATTATGACCATGGCAAACGTTTGCTCTTTCAGTTTGTCATGATTCAGGCGAAAGGTTAAACATCCTGGTGTCAGCCGCCGACCAACGAACGCAACGGTTTCTTCGCATCAGCATTCTCTTTCCATCATCTAGGGTAAATATTTGAGCCGTTGTTCCTTCGGTGAAGTCCTTCGCTCGCCCACGGACGAGGACAAGGACGCGCGGCGACTCAAAATTAAGTCATAAATCAATGTCTTTTAATTTTCTTAATTGCTTATTCCGTATTGGAATCACGGCCATTCATCGGCCTGGGCAAGCTATTTTTGTCTCGTTGGGCCAGGTCCCGGTGACTTTAAGTGGACGTGGAATTTGAAAATGTTTCATCCATTTTCGTCTGTTGAACACCACCAGGAGCACCATCGTGTCATGAATTATTACCAAACACATGGGATGAATACATTGTCAAGGTTCCCTGGTCCCGGTTGGTTGCTTGATAGCTTTTCTGTTTTATTTTTTCGGAGAAACAGTGAAGCGACAAGGAATTTTATTATGAATTTCAGATTGGATGGTGTCCGAAAATGTGTTTCGGTGTTTTTGCCGCCCGGATCAGACGGGTGGTGGTCCTATGGGAGGAACCCAAATTCCGAACCTACAACGATTTATGCGGAATGTGTTTTCCGTTTCTGCTTCAACGACAACGACGACGACGACGGTGATGGCCTTGAATTTGATTTGGGTTGAAGCCATCGATTCGAGCGTGTTCCGGCCCATGATCGTGTTTTCGGTTCCCAAGGGCAACAACGGCTGACGATGATGAAGGAGACCCGGGAAAGTTGAATAATTAATCGACACCAGTCGAGTCTGTAAAGTTGCAAGACGCGTCTTTGGTCCTTTTTTTTTTGAAAAGGATGCTAACTTTTTGACGCTTTATTGGATGTTTTGAAAGATTGATAGCAGTTTTGTCTAAGGAACAGTTTATCTGTGTTTTGCCCGGATGCGATGATTGATGTCACTTGAGAACTGTAGCAAAATTTAAATTAGAGTATAGAGTCGTATCAAAAGAGTGTATTGAAATGAATTAGACATTTATTGACAAAAAAGCTCTGCAGCCAAATTTCGCCAAATCATTAAGTGAAATCCATTTGTCGATGAACGGCCTTAACTTTAACGGCCTCTAATGTCAAACATGCACGTTCCTCTACCACTTCACCCATATAAAATAACAATCCACTTGACATGAAACCTCCCCTCGCAGCATATGGCCAAACCTGTTAGCCATCGCCCCCATACAGTTAAATAAATGTTACAAGTCTACTATTTTTATATTTTACCAGCAGTTCACCGCTGCCGGAGTGCCCCGCACCCACAGTCACACACGCTGTGCATGACTCTGTCATGTCTGTAAGCCGTAAGAATAACCTTTCACTTTCCTCAACCCTTTCCTTCCGACTAACAAACTGTACTGAAACGATGGTGGGTGTCCTCCTTCCAGTGGAAGAGGTGTTACCAAAACATTGCCACTCACCTCCCTCCTATAACTGTAATCTACCCTCATTCTACTGCTGCTGCTACTTCTGCTAATACTACCTACTTCTGGTAGTGTAACGAAAATAAAGCAAATAAAATTTTACGATTATTGTTCGTGTAGCAGAGAAGGAGGCAGCAAGGACAAACCACTCACCAACATAAACACTCCCCTAGAATGTGGGTGGTGGCAGGGCGCGGTGGTGATTCAGGTCCGAGCGTAAAAGGCTCGTTTTTCTTTTCCGCCTCTCCCAGTTTGACTATCGCTCCGTTGCTGCTGCTGCAGCTGCTGTGTCCTAATCTTATCTTAAAACGAGTTCTTCATTCGGTGGCGAGTGTGCAATCCTAGAAACGAAAATAATATATAGGAATGTGTGTTTTTAGGTGTGAACGGATCCCAATTGTGTACGAGTCCTGTTCTCGTCGTTTCCCGGTGGAATCTATGTTGGTAGTAGCCAAGTGACACGCCACCACCGGCGAACCGAAAAATGCCAAAAGCTATCATTAGAGAGTGGACCATATCCTTCAACCGAAAATAGTCACACGAGGAATGCAAGGAAAAGGTGGAGACAGTGAGCTATTTAGTTTCGTTTTTCGGTTGTTTTTTCCTTGCTCTCGGAAACTCGGGGCCTTCGAGCTAAGAGGATGGTTTCTTTCCGTAGTGATAATAGATCATTATCGTAAATTACCTCCGTGTGTGTGTGTGTGTGTGTGTGTGTGTGTGTGTATGAGTGGGGTTGGTAAGTTAGTTGCGGTGCAGAACAAGGTTTTGAGCAATGTGTGACGAGAGGTTTGAGTGCGGAACGGAATTTATAGGTGGTGATATGGGATGGAAATGGAATTAGAGAAGCGTTACGCCCACGTTTGAATGGCCTCCGGTTGAACGACTGTGATTAGGGAGGTAAATGGTAGAATAGTTTGGGCAGTTGTATCTTGAGCATGGTTGTACAACAATGATGAAGCTGATTTGATTCGAAATTAGTTTAGAATTTTCAAACTGGCATTGATTTTCTGATAACGGTTTCTCGGGTTTATGGAATCATTGGAGGCTATAAGGATATTTATACTTTTAAGATACAAGAAGAGGTTCAACATTATGTATTTGACACATATAACCTGTCAATGTTGCCTTCAGAGAATCACAAATGTCGTGATTTTCAGCGGGCCTGTCGGGTACCTTCACAAAATGGTGTTGCTCCATGGTGTCAGGTGTGGGATGTCTCAAGTCTGAGGGAGCCTTACTGGGTGTCCCGCTGTCCAGTACTGTCCGGATGACCACTGGGTTGTGATTCCAGATCGCTTTGGGGCCGTGAGGTAAACTCAAGGAAACCCCTTCAGCTGGCCGAAGCGTATCGCTCACTGTTCGTCGGCCACGGAATATGGACACGTCCGCCGAGCAGATCCGCCACAGTTGTGGCACCGGCTGGTTATACTGGGAGTTCGCTGAATGGGGATTGCAGATCGCTTAAAGCCGCAGTGAGGTAAACTCAGAAAAACCCTCAGCTGGCCAAAGCGGTTGCTGCCTACCGATTGAATGAACCCGGGTGGGGCACTGCTGCTTTTAGGGAGATGTGCTCTCCTCGCCGTCCGTCAATTGAATGACGGGAAAATGATAATGCTTGCTCTTATAGTATTTGCTTTGCTACTGATTAAGCCGTCAACCAATCGTAATCATCCAATTTTCGGAGGACACAAACAGATGTGATTAAACAGTAAGTTTACTTTTAGTTGCTATTTTATATTTTATTATTATTTATATTATTATGATCACACATCATCACTTTCCTACAGCAAACAACGATTTTAGTTTTCCTGAGTTCTATGAACTTTTCTTTTGAAACTACCGAAGTTCGATGAAAATCCGAATAGTCCGTAGAACTTCCGGGTAGTCTGTAGAATATTTGAGCTGCCCATAGAATATCCGAAAAATTCTTTGAATTTCCGAGAAGTCCGGATACCTTCCTAAATCCGTAAAACTTCTGTAAATTCTGAAGAATTTCCGAAATGTCCGTAGAATATCCTAGACGCCCATAGAACTCCCTAAAAATCTATAGAGCTTGCGAGAAGTCCAAAGAATATCGGATTAGTCCATCGAACATCTGAGCCGGTGCCGCTTGGTACAGTGGTAAGCGTGACTGCCTCTCACTTCAAAGGACCTGGGTTTAGTCCATGAAGTTGATGGGTCGATATTTAGGGTCCAAGTGTCAATTTTTTCCCCTTTTCAACGGTTGATCAAGATATACAAAGCTAGTATGGATTAGTATAGCATAAGAAATTCTCTGCTTGACCGTCAAGTAATTCAGTACGGTTTTTGTTCGCTCTGTCGAGTCGTTTTGTTCGCTCTGTAGAGTCGTTCGATAAATTTCCAGTTTGTTCCAAACGTTCGTAGGTATATTTAACGTTTATTCCCATCAGTTGTGTCGGTCGCATCGTGTGTTGGGAAGACAGCGCTCCCAGAGCAGATTCCGAGAGAAATCAAAGAAGAAGAACAGTTGTGAGGGTAGCTCGAGTGTACCTATTTTGAATTGGTACGCCACTCAAGTAACATTGCAAGTTTTATCAAGGTTTTAATGCGTTCTACAAGTCCAATTGTTGGTCTACAGGACCCTCATAAAACCAACATTTTTACTTGGGATACTCTTCCCACTGATGTTGAGAATATCCGATGATGCGAGTGTGCGCGACGATGTCACCGCGACGAACGCAAGTGACATCGGTGATTTCGGCGACGCCGTCGAAAATGAAAATTCTTCTGGTCCGAGTGCGGCAAAAGTGAAGCATCCTCCACTGGTAGTGAAGAAAGTTCCACCCTACTTGCTCATTGGCGATTTCACATAGCTGGGCGTCACGTCGCAGCTGATTGGCACCAAGGTGATGCTCCGTACGAAAGCGGAGTATGAGGTGGCCGTGAACTACTTGAAGGATTCTAAGGCGGAATATTTCAAGCATGACCAAGGTTACCAAGGTCTCCTCATTCGGATTCTTTGACAACTCCATGTATGCCAGTCCAGTCTTGACTGAGCGCACCAGCCTTTTCCATATGCCTTCCATATGGGGTGCGTAAGGAGGGTTGAGCTTCCACTGCGTGTCTACGTTCATGAACGTCCCCGCTAGATCTCGATTGATAGCACCGATCTGCTGCCTTAGCTCCGTACTGCCACCTTGGAAATTGGTTCCTTGATCTGAGTAGATTTCCGGTGGCGCACTTTGACGGGCAATGAACCTACGTAGTGCCATCTTGCAGGATTCGGAAGACAGAGTGTAGGCGACTTCTAAGTGGACTGCTCGGGTTCCTAGGCAGGTGAAGAGCGCTACCCACCTTTT